TGTTTGTTGAAAGTGAAATTTGTAACTGATACAAATAAAATAACGCCCAAATAAATATTGGGTTGAAACATAAGTAATGGCCGTTTATGTTGTGTTTAAAATTACGCTGTCAAAGTAAAATGTATTGGCACAATGTTTTGCGTTTTTCGAAAGAGAATCTTTCCTTCTGCAAGATGGCATATTTGAATTTTTTGTCGGAGCTAATTTTTGTTATTTTTCAAATCATTAAAATGGAGTGTCAAGTCGACAAAAATAAGCATTTACGTTCTTCTTTTTCTTTACCTTCTTTTTCCGTTTAATCAAGGCGCCAATGCTGTAGAAACTGGTCGAGAGATTTGTGAAGTGTATGGAGAAGGTGCAATGCCTGAACGAACTTCAAGAAATTGGTTTGCCAAATTCAAAAATAGAAATTTCGATCTCGAAGACGCTGCTTCGTTCCGGACGACCAAATGAGTTTGATGAAGAGCGTTTGATTCAATTTCTGCATGAAGACGCGCTTCAAACCCCTCGGGAATTAGCCGACCGAATGGGTTTAGCCAAATGACTATAGTTCCACATCTTGGGTCTATGGGGAAAATCCAAAAACTCGGATATTATTGTCTAATTCAGGGTTTCTTAAACTTTTTTTCAGTCGCGACCCGCTTTTATCACTGAGATCTTTTCGCGACCCCCCAGGACCCTATAATATTTACAAAAATTTTTTGGGAGCCCATAATTATTCCGCAAATCTCACACGCTTGATTCATACTGTCAAATTTTTCACTTGTACTGTAATATACTATTGCACTTTTAGGTCATTAACTTTAATTTCTAATTTTAGACATAGAACAATGTGAAAATTTTAAATAAGTAACAGACGAAATGACAGCGTCATGTGCAAAGCAAAAAAAAAAAAAAAAAAAAAAAAAAAACATTTATGTTATAAGGTATTTCTCCCACTCCCCTAGCGTGCCTTCGTGGTGTAGTGGTTCTACACACTGAGCCGGTATTTCAGAGGTCCGTCGTTCGATTCCTGGCGAAGGCGGTTGCATATTTTTCATCTTTTCTGCTTCCAATTAACCTAATGACTCTGCAATGTTATAAAAAGAATGCGTCGAAACGTTTTCGTTTTTTTCTTTGTCTGTATTTGTCTTATCTTTATCTATTTTCAGATACATTGTGTAAAAATATTTGGTAATTGTAAAATTATTATAATAAGTTAAAGAAATATCAAAACTGCTAAAATTTTTGCCGCCCCCCATGCTGTAAGTTCCGTGACCCCCTTGGGGGTCGCGACCCATACTTTAAGAAACACTGGTCTAATTTATCGTTTTGTGTTTTCTTAAAATAAAATTTTTTAAAATTAAAAAAAAAAGGCGTTTACTTATGTTTCAACCCAATAAATTAATTCAAAATTTTCTCCAATACCTAGCCATGTTAAACTTACGGGACTGCTAATGTTCCGTACAGGTAGTTTCTTCTGTATATTGCATTCATACATATAAATACATTTTACACGGGATCTTATCAAATAAAAGACAGAATTCGAAGCTGAGAGAAGCAAACAGAAGGCTGTAAGCTTCTTAACCCTACAGCAGTAATCACTAGTCATTTATGTTATTACTATCAGTGTTAAAGTAAAATCTCCAAGTATTTATTTTAAGCATATGTAAAGGATTGTTAAAAAAAAAATTGTACGTAAAAATTAGTAAGAAAAATTCTTATTTCTTGCCATTAGCTCAGAAGAAGAGAAAAACAATTCATTTAATTATTAGAAATAGTTCATTTAATTATGCTAGGTAACCTGGAAATGGTTGCTTTGTACAATTTACAATATATGGCTCCAGTAACATTTTATCGATTAAAATAATGATACAATTGGTCATAAAAATTTATCTTTTATGTATAAATGGTATTTAGTTTATTGCAAAACATATGAATAAAATATACCATTAATTATATCAGTTACATTCACTATAAAAATTCTAAAATGTAAGCGCATCATGGCTGGATGTACTAGCCCTTAGTCCACCACAAATCGCACAGCTGACTATGATAATTCCTTATAAAATAACAACACGAATTATTAAAAAATTTGTTCGTTGTATCTTAAATTTTTTATTTTGTTAAGCAGCTAAAGTTGTGATTTAAAAATAAATTAAAGATCCTATGCCATATTGAATGGCAATGCTGTAAGAATTGGGTTTTACCTGTCTATATGAATAATAGATTTAAAAACTAATGGAATGACAGCATTTTTCAGGCTCTTGCTATGCCAGAGTAAGATGAAATAAACTCTTAGATATAAGAAGTCATATTGTAGTCTAAAATTGGATGATTAAGTAATAATTTATTCATGTTCAGCTAACGCATTGTGACTAAATGCAAAAGAGTTTTTTTTTTTTTTTTTTTTTTTTTTTTTTTTTTGTCCTTACAAACGAACTTTTCTTGCCGAAAGGTTTAATGAAGTCAGTGTGTATTCACTTACGAATGAGAGAACTACGAATTAGATACTGACATATTTTATGAATATCAAAAAAAGTGTTAGCAGTTTGACTTAAAAGTAATTTTAAAAGTGTCTTTAAAACAACTCATCTGAAACCATTCCTGTATGCAGCTACTAACAATTAATGGCAAACTTCCACAGTGTACAAAGATTCCTATACGAAAGAAAGTTAATTGCAAATGGTGGGTTGCAGACAATAGTGAAAACTTCAAGGTTACATAAGAAAATGCCCAGTATTTTGTGACCGAAAACTACAGTACAATATTTCTAATCGCAAGAGTTTTAGCTATTTTAAGACCAAGGTAGTATTGCAGAATTTGAAGAAGTAACGAAATATTTTATGAGTAATGAGAACTTCACCATGGTTATTGTCCGAAAACTATAATCGTATAATTTCATAAATACTGTTTGTAAATTTGTGGGGAATATTAGTCATTTCTGACCAGGAAATGCGAGAATTGAACTGTACCCTTGCCGGGAGTCGAGCCCAGATACTTCTATGCTAGTTGAACATACTAACCATTTATACTACGGAGGGGGAATGTTATAATTCCTTATAACTTGTGTCGAGTATAATCTTGTAAATTTATAAATGCACTATTTACGAGCAAAACTGACGAGGTCAACCCCGTGGACGAGTGGTTAAGCCGCTGAATACTGGGAATTCGACCCGGGTTCAATCTCAAAAGTTGAATGGATTGACTGCATGGTTGGTTTTCGTGGCTTTCCCTATGTATTTATAACAGAATATAGAGAATACGAGCCGCTTTTCAGTTAAAAAATCCGTCACTGATGCAACCCATTCCTTAGACTTTGCCACACAGGGATAACCCGAACGCTATCCTAATCCATCAAAATAGCGGTGATATTATATTCATAAAATTCATCCTGTTATGCTTCTTTATCGAAGTAGCTAAGGTAAAACTGATTGCTTGATTAATGAGTACTGTAGAACATTAAAACGTAAACAATTGTATCTTTACACGAAGCATAGAAACGTATTACAAATTCAATATATGAACATTGATTATAAATAAAAAGCATCAAAACGATTGGAAAACAGGGCATACATGACTCAGTATAAGAAGTTTGCACTCATTCAATATCATCAACAAATATATTTCGTTTAAATACAGTAAAAGACATATAAATGGCATTCATCTACTCTGCATAAAATATTAGTTGAAACAGAGATAATTAAGGAATATCGAGATACGAGCCAAAATGGAGCAGAAAGAGGATGACATACATTTTGATATCATCCCGAGAGTTTTTTAGGGAACTTTAGATTCTATCCTTCCTGGGAAGATTTATCAGTAGAAGCCGTACCGTAAGTTAACCATAAATCAAGAAAAAATTTTTATCATGTCAACATCTGCTTTTAACGAAAAATTTAAATGCAAATTTGGCAAATTAAACGCAAAAGGTGAAAGCTTTATATTTTTAATGAAAATACTCAAATGTGTACAGTGAGACATGAGTGAACTGCAAAATGAAACTTTCATAGTGCAATCTAATACCCCAGTAAATATATACAAAGTCTGAAAAAAATCATCATTTTTTAAAAAAATTACTATCTTATCTTCATATTAGGATTGCACTTTAATACTTGAAACTGGTTTAAGCTGAGAGGTTGAAATTGGTCCACTAACTGAAAAATAAATCTCCGAAAATTCAAAAAATTAAAATAAAAGTCGAGAAATCATTTAAAATGAGCTGTTCAAAGTTGCAGTGCCAAATGGTAGAAAAAAAGAACATGCTGGGAAATTATCCCATTCTAAATTAAGGCCAGATAAAGATTTTATAATTTTGTGAATAAAAATAATAAAAGATGTCATTAGTGAGCAATTTTCATTACCATGCAGTTTTCTAACTTTGGAACGAAGTTTTCAACCAATACTTCTCGCAAGTGAAATGACAATTGCTAGTTTGCATTCACATGGAATTCTAGTAATGGAAACAAAATATAACACCTTGTTTGAAGTGTTATCAACAAAAAGAAAATCTGTTTTGAAGAGAAATTTAGTTATAAAAACAGGCTCAAATTGGTGGAGTAATTTTGAATAAAAAACATGAAGATTTTCAGTGTATAAAAGTTTTCTTAAAAAATTATAAATATATATATATATATATACTGAAGAAAAAAGATATACAGCTTATTCCTCTCAAAGTTGATTATAGTTTTATTCAAAATTTACCCCCAATTTAAGTTTGCCGTAATACCTAATTTTAGAAAGAAAACATATGAATACGTCTCAAAGAAAACATAAGAGACTGTAAACTGCAGGACATGACTAAAGATGAGAGTACATAAGAAAAAGCTGAGGATATTTCAGAAAGAAAAAGTTTTACAGTAACTATACGAACTACGGATTTTTAAAACATCTTGAGGTTATATGTTTAAGAAAATTGAAGACTATAAAAGTTTAATAGTCAGAACAGAAATCATGCAGAAAGTGGAACAATCTGGGATTAACTCAAAGGATAAAATCAATTTAAGCATGCAAGTACTCACCGGTAATAATCATCCTTGCAGTAGATATTTCCATCCCTGGAGAAACATGTAAGTTCCGAGTCCAGCTGCACTTTACACTCGCAGCACGTGAGGCAGCGCACGTGCCACTGCCTGTCCACGGCCAGCAGGTAGTATCTGTCCGCAATCTTGCCCCCGCAGCCTCCGCACAGGTGCGGCACGGGGGGCTGGTACTCCCCCACGCTGATCACCGGCATCGGCCGCGGATCGACCCCGCTCCCCCCCGACACTCTCTCGCCGGGGCCTGATGGGGGGCTGCCGGCCCCCCTCCTCTGCTCTCCAGTCGTGGAGGGTCGACCCTCCAATTAGCCCACTCCAGGAAGGAGAAGTGCGCCGGAAGGTTCTCCTCTTGGTATGCCGACGGCACGAGGAGGGAGGTCACTTTAGAACAACCGCAGACGATGTTCCCTGCTCTAGGGGGCTCCTGTAGTTCTATCACAGCCGCTACTTCATTTCTCAACAGCTCCCAGAGAAAGTTGCCCTTAGATTTCAGTTTCAATTCTCTAGGATAGCACAGTTTCGATTGAAGTAGATCCAACTTTCAGTTTTAGATTCTTTGGTTCTGTTCGAGTAGAAGTCATCTTATTACACTTTTGTGTGTTTTGTTTCGTTACTGATTTAAATATTTACTCCAAAGTCAACTTTTTTAAATACTACTTTCGAAAAATAATTTTTGGCAAAACTGAAAAAAATTCTGAAAGGTTTCTTTTGCCATTTTAACTCAATGATTGCTGGATATGGATCAGGCCTTTTGTTCCGTAATTTCCCTATGTTGAATTCTTATAGATTATTTCTTTTCCAGTTCCGTAGGATGTTTCGCTGAGAAATTTTATTTAAATATTACGAGAGGAATCAATATCTAAAGAAAAATAACCTTCCAGTTTCAGAAATTTTTCTTGCCCTACGGTTTACAGTATTTTAGTCATATATTCCATTGAAATGCAGACTTCCATCGATAGACGATATCAAAGTTTAAGAGTACTTACAAAATATCACTTATGAAATACGAAAATTTATTGTGAATTCTACCTTTCCTCAGTTACACTATAAAAAACAACAAAACGCTTTCGATTTCTGAATTTCTACGAAATTCCAGCAAAGTGTAGAACTGATTTGAAATGGTTGATTTTCATTCAATATATAGGCAAACCTGTAACCGCAACTTCCCTTTGCTGACAGATTCGAAATTTATTATTGTAACAACTGTTATTAAAGCACAGTTCTTCTGTTGTCACTGCATCGATTAAAATGTTATAATTTAATGTTCAGATTTTGAGCATTTTAAGATAATTGAAACAGATTTGCATTGCATCATGGGTACCTAAATTATATCCTATTTCTTTAAAATACTGCTGCTTTTAATATATTCCGTAAGTTTTCAGATATTTCTGCCATATTTTTAGTATTGATGCTTGAAAAGTACTTCCGCGTACCAACAAAATTTAACTTTCTAAAAATATATCGTTGTGATTCCTCTGTTTCATCTTTTGATTACGATTTTTTTCCCTAAACAATAATTAAAAAATAAATAATTATCCAAATTTACGGATCCGCTAGTTGTATCAATCCAATGATCTGAATTCCTTTAACTTGAAAACCGAGGGAAATGATATTTCGAACATATATAATGCGCAATCCAGTCATAAAATAAAGCAAACAAAAAGAGAAACACCACTGTATCAGCTGCTGACGATTTGAGATGGTCACTCGTTAATCTAGCACAAAGAAATGTACAACCTTCCTCTCTCTGAAAGAGACACATTAACTGTGACCGAACCACTTGTTCCTCACTTTCATCTCTCCTCGCACCTGTCAGTAGATCAAGAGAAGTGCGTCGGCATCGTTCTCTTCCGATCCGCCACTGGCAAGGCGTTTGCCTCGTCCCGCCTCCAACCGGAAAGTCACGGCCAATGACCGCTGTTGTAGGAGTGGCTGAGAAAAGTGATTGACAGTTACGAGGGAGGAATGGTTGTGGTGTAGTGGGGGAAAAATGGATCGCCCTCCGAATGGTAGGCTCGCACACGTGAGTGGCACGTGCGGAAAAGGATTTCAGCTGTAGAAATAGGAATAGCCTTAGAAATCGCTTTTTTCCCCCCCTTCATAACTGCTTTTGCTCCTGCAGCGTGAATGATTGAAGTTGCTGACTTTCTAATCTTTATACCATGACGTGTGCCAATAAATAAACGGCTTACAAAGTATATTGCCATTTTATATCAATGATGCGTATGTTTTTTGAATACGCAATTTTTTTAAAGTCTATTTAAAATTTCTTATTCAATACTGTTTCTAATAAAGCCACATTCCAGTTTAAGCTAAGCTTTCGAGGAAATTTATCGTGATAATTAAATTTCATATGTTTTTTTTTTTTTTTTTTTTTTATTTTTTTAATTCACTCCATTATTTTGTCTTAAGGCTTTACCCTTATCTGTGTGTTATATGTATCATTTGCAATCTTTGAAATCATTTTGAAGCAGAAAATAAAATTTCCCCTTTAATAATTATTACCAGAAAATAAAATTAAATAAAATAAAAAAGGCCGATGTACATAACTTTTATAATTTTATATTCATCTACTAAGTATTACTAAAGTTAAAATTTTACTAAAGAAGCTTTGCTATAATACAAATACAAGCCAATATGAAAATCATCTGAATATTTTACTTTTAAGCTCTTCCTACTACAAAAATCAAGTCTTTAAATAAATTTTTAAAACTTTTGTAAAAAGTTGTTTGAGTGAAAATTAACAGCAAAAAAAGAATAAGATTTTTTATTCAAAAAATGGATAAAAGCATACAAATATTACACATTTTTTTTTCTTTAAATAAAAATTATATACTTTTGCCAGCTTTCGAAACTAAATTTTTACCCAAAACTCACCTCAAAAAATATTTCAACGAGAAAAAATTCAGGCATTTATTTCTGCATTCTTTTTTAAATACAAATAGCAGCAGATTTTGAATAAGTTGTGAATAATAGTTTACCGAATTGTTATAAATGCTGACTGTAGATTTTTTTTTAAACACAAGTATCGTGGAAACGAAGTTAAGACATAGGAATATGCTTCGAGTATCAAAATTCCAAATAAAAAAATCCTAGATTTTTTCTTCGTTGCACTTTTGGTTTTTCTTTTTTACTCCAAGAGAAATCGGAGATTACTAGATAGATTTGTATATAAATAAATACATACAGAGCTATGTATCTAAACAACCGATGGATGACACAATTATTCAATTAGCTGATTATTTAATACGCATTTATTAAATTCCTGCTATTAGCTCACACTCTATCCTATATCTTGTTCAAATTTTCAATCGTTAATAAAATACTTTTTATTTCTCCACTCAAGTTCAAATACATTTTTTTAAACTTGTAGTGGATGACACTCGATGTTAATACAATTTTTTCACATATTAAAGTCAATTCCTGCTTATTTATTCCTGCTTCTGCTGTTTTTATGAAATGTATGATAAAGACTTACAAATAATGACCGTTTATTAGGAATTTTCAGGTGCTGTAAAAATTAATTTTATAGCAACTTATAAATAATTGTACATGACTGTGATAAATGGGATTGTAATATTTAACAAAAATAAGTGGCAACAGTAAGACAGCGTTCTAAAGATTTTTAAAGTATATGGAATTAGAGAATTGTAGTTTCATAGAGTTGGATGAAGCGGATGTAATGTCCCATTATGTAGCGAAAATTATTAGCTTCCTAATTTTTTTTTAAAATAAAAATAGTTTGAGGGACAAATTTAAGGCAAATTTATGGACAAATCTAAGGCAGTGCGCAATGCCTAGTTTGTGCAATTCTAGGATATTTTTTAAGTGAAAACAGATCGATGTGTACATGGACACAGAGTTTGTGCTATTCTTTGACTTTTTATTTTGGTTTTTTGTAGCGGCCATCTTGAAATTGTGCCTTCCTGACGTCGATCTTGGCGTCAAAAAAGAATCGAAAAAAAACAAGGGGCACCCAATTGTAAACTTTTACCTTTCTAACTCGCGATGCACTAAGACTCTCTCGATGCTAGACTACTTTTCGCAGATCAAGCATATGTCGCCTTGAGTCGTGTGAAATCATTAGATGGAATATTAATTGAAGAACTGGACTGCTCGAAACTCACTGGAAAGGTTCCTTGCAATAATGAAGCATTGCAAGAGATGGATAGAAGAAGAAATTATAAACACCATCAGCTTTATAAATTAGAAACGAAAAAATTTTAATTACCTTAATAAAAAGTAACTAAAATTAAAAAAATTTTGTTGTTGAACTAAGTATTTTTGTTTATTATATTACTTGTATGTGTGAAGATACTGATATTTTGATTTTATGCGCATCCTCAAGCATTGCTTCGGAACGAACACCAAATTTCATTCATCAAATTCATTTCATTCAAATTTACTTTTTATTGTTGATGTCATTCAGATTCAATTAAATGTGTATATACTTCTGAATAATTTATCCTTTATTCTTACCGAAAAAATTTGAAATATGAGAACAGATAAGAAAAAGTAGAAATATCTTTGCAAAATTATATGCGCAAGGCTTAATTATACGATTTCAATTTTTAAATTGCGTAGCATATCATTATGAAAAATAAAAAAATTAAATTATATGGTTTCAATTGAATTTCAGATTATACGAAAAATTAACACTGTTTCTTTATGAAATTTTTTAAAATTTATCATTAATTTTTTAGTTATTTGTTAAAAAAGTGTATATCATTTATTAAAGACGAAATTACTATCTTGTCATTTATACCAGTACAGCCAGCTCCCTTCTCTATGCTCAGCGCTTTTACTCATATTCAAACCTATACTTATCTCTATATATTTATTTTCTTTTGTACCATGCACAAAAGTGAAAAATCGCGAATTTTTTTTTTAAGTTTCTTGGCTGAAAATGCTCTACCCCCCAAAGTTGCATATTCACAAATATATATGAGTATCAAGAGTGAGACAACTCAACGCGTCTGACAGTCTCGCGGGGAGAAGAATGATGGGAAATAAGAGTATTATGCGCACTTCTATTAAGAAGTAAGAACAACAGCGGTAATATGTAACCTCTCAATCATCAATTCTTTTTTATTTGTAAATACCATCTTAATGTAACTCCAATAATAGCTAAATTAAATAATTTAGTCACCTAAATGTGTTTCGTCTGTCTACCAATCACCTAGATGCTAATCTTATACATATCGCTCGTAATTTTTTTCAAAATTTTTCTACTTCACTTACATTTTTCGCAAGAACCTTGAATAATAGCAATTTCATATAATCCAGTAACACTACGAAATTTTCGAAAACTGTCGGATGAAAGCGAATCGTCCCCCAAAAGATCAAAAGATATGCACTGACAGGGACAAAAAGGACTAAAAGAGACTTAAAAGTTTCCCAGGACTTAAAAGAGATCCCTGGTCCTATTTATCCCATGCAACAAGAAACCGGATGATGCAAACTCTACGCGTGCTGATGTTGTTGGCTGTTGTTGGCTTGGTTTCTGCAAACCGTCTTCCAATTTTATGAAAAATATTTAAGTTATATGTATTTCATGGTGTAAACATTAAAATAACTTCTTTGGCAAAAAAAAAGGGGGCACCATGAAGAAAGTGACTGTTTTTATTAAATCTGAATGTGCGTAAACCTCATACACAAGTAATGAAGTGATTAAAAATTCAAAGCCATTTGGCCCAACAGCGCCTAGCAACTGCACATTGAACGCTCAAATCACTAATAAACGAAACTCCTTGTTGGTGATGCATGCTTTTAAACGTTGAGGTATGAAATGATAACGATTCCTAATCTCATCCTGCAATACATTTTTCACGCATTCTTCAACTGTTGCTCCAGATCGGCGATATTTTTTAGTGTTCGAATCTGGCGGCCTACCATATCCCGTACATGTTCGATTGGCGGAAGGTCTGGTGACATTGCTGGCCAAGGAGTAGTATCAACAGCTCGGAGGTATGAGTGACACGAGACTATTTTTCACTTGTCTTGTCAGCCCTAAAATCAGAAAGCTCCATGCTCACCCATCTTTACACCGAAAACTGCTCTACATCGAATTATCTACATGGGTTCGGCATTGGAGACTCGGATCAGTGTTTTTCTGGTAGCAATTTGACAGGTAATTTGAGACATTACTTTCATGAATGCACCCTAACACAGGACATGCACTTCTCAGAACCCTCTGAAAATAATCTTCAGACCTGGAGGCCTTGACTAGTGGAAAATGAAAAAAGTCTAAAGAAAGCTCTCAAGATAATTCCATATATTAACGATAGTAAGCATAATATTTAGGCCTCCCGAACAGCAAACTTTTTCTACCTTAGAACTGCCTGGTGTAAAATAGGGTAAGGTTGCTATCGATGGGCCTGCTCCTTCACTGAGCCACGTCCATTATTTTATTAGTATTAACTTTTATTAGTAGGCGCTACCTGTTGACTGTTTAATATACTAAATGCAGCTTGAAACTGTCATCTTGTTTTCATGCTACATTTGAGAAGATCCATGCTCAAACAAGTTGCTTTACAAGAAAATAAGACTGTTATACTTTTCTTCTAATTCATCAATGTAAAGAAAATATAGATATCAGTAAAACGTTAACAGTGTTATTGATAACATTTAAACCGTGTTCAGTCAGCGTTATTTGACTGCATTAACAATGGTTTTTTGCTTTGTTATAGCCGAAATTATGGAAGTATCACATACCGACTGCTAGTTGCCTTCAATGAGCCAGCCTGCGTTGCTATGATTAGGCTGGTGGC